TGGTCCCAATTCAAGCTACATGGTATAAAAACGGAATCCTATGTTCAAGAACACAACTGCCAATAAGTCTCTGTTGGGCATGTACAATTCATAAACCACAAGGACTAAGTTTACTATCAGTAATTCTTGATGCTGGAAACTCGGAATTTGCTTTAGGGTTACTGTTTGTTGCTCTATCTAGAGTATCAGATTTCAAAGATCTGTGTTTACTGGGTGCAATATCTTTAGAAAGATTAAATTCGGCAAAAAAATCTGCACGGTATAAAATAAGAAGAAAATTTTTGTCAATGTTAAGGAAAATGTCAAATTAAAAATTACACTAGTACTAACTTAATTGATAAGTTTTTGTGAAATTGTTACAGTTATTGATGAAGAGAAAATACAATAGAGAAAGAATAAGACTTTGGAGATTGAAGTTGACCAAAGAAAAAAAAGAATTCATGAGAAAAAAAGATAGGGAAATGAAAAAAAAAAAAAAAGGATGCAAAAGAAAAAAAGAGAAATAAATTGATGATACATTACTTTGTGTAAATAATTTACCCCCATATTCTTCTGAAATGTGATCATATTTAAAAAGAAAAAAAAGATGCTACCATCATCATCTTCAACACATTCTGTTAAGAAAAGCTGGTTAGAAACATATTGTAAGACACAACATGTGTAGATAGCCTGTAACAGACACTCTGTTACAGACAGCCTCTTACAGACAACCTCTTACAGACAGCTTCTTACAAACATAATGTTACAGACACGCTGTTACAGACAACTGTTACAGAAAACATATCAGAGACACACTGTTACAGACACACTGTTAAAGACACTATGTTACAGAATCACTGTTACAGAAACCCTGTTACAGACACACTGTTACAGAAAACTGTAACAGACACACTGTAGCGTTTGCTTGACAGTAGTAAAAAAAGTCTCCCTCCCGACTGGATTGCTCAATGGTGTGGTTCAGTAGCTTTATGTTGTTCCAATGTTTATGGGCGCCAAGGGTCACTACAGGACCCTGCTCAGAACTCACAGAATTTTGATTAATCACTAATATTTATTGGAAGTAATAGAAGCAGTAAAGCCAGTGTGGATACAACAAATCTATAAATAATTACATACAAGTAATTAACTCAGAAACAGAGTCAGTACGGAGTCAAATGATAAATGAATAGAGTAATACTATTATACTGAAATTTACAGTTGCTGTTGCTGTTGGACCCTAAGGAGACATAAAACTCGCATTGAGTACACTAAGTTACGTTAACCAGAATAGACTCTATGATGGCAGCCTACAAGGCAACTAGAATAAACGACCTTACTGGGGACAAGTTACTGGAAGAGTGGCACGCAATCTACGAACCACTTGCCTTTCCAGCGACCTGTCTCCAAACAAGGGAAGAAACGCCAATTTAACATGAGGAGAATCTGGTTAATTAAATCAGAAACTATTCTTCCTAGGGACAAACAGACAAATTATATACAAGTACATAACATTTTGATTGATGGTTCAAGTAGCAGGGATTTAGGTAAATTCATTGAATTACACCGGCATGGAGGCTGGGCACTGGAGGTGGTTACATAGTTAGTAACAAGATGGTCTCCCTGAGGAGACCAATGTTGCTGACCATCATGATGACTGGGCCAGGGCACCAAAGGCGACTTAGCCGTCCATAGTGTACTTATCAGGCAGTACTAAAAGTGTCAATGACACAAGGCAACCTAAATGCAATAATGAGAGACACATGAGCCCACACAGGATACCAGGAGGAACTGTACCATAGAACGATTGCTGTTGCAAAGACTCACCAATGAGGCCTTAAAAGCAAGAAAATGAACTACACAGGTCACTTCGGACCATTCACGAGTGAACCGATAAAACGGTAAAATTGGAGCAGAGTCACAACAGCTAATTACTCGGATGGCGCTCGGTCAGCATAGAGACCTCCTCCGCTCCCTCGCCTGCCCAGCTGATCTCTGGTCAGGTGAGGGGGGAGAGGTAGGGAGGAGAAAACTCCAGACAAGCAGGTGTCAGCGCCATCTCTCGCCCCCCGCGGCAGACAGCTACTCGTGCAGGAGAGGCTGCCTACCTCCAGGCGCGAGAGTTATCGTGGGTGGCCTACCTGCCGGGCGTTCCCCGTAACAACCGTAACAACACTGTTACAGACAAATTGTTACAACAAAGTGTTACAGACACCCAGTTACAGACACCGTGTTACAGACATCTTGTTCCAAACACCTTTTTATAGACAGACTGTAACATACACTGTGTAAAAGACAAGAAAAAATCCAAAAATAACAAATAGACGAAATTTATCAGTTATCAAAATTGCGAGTGAGCGAGCGACGCGAATTATGAAAAAAAATCAATA